AATTCCAGCCAAACACACAAACTTGAATCCTTGAACGTTCAATCTAGGTTGATCGATCATGTCTTCAGTCTTCTTTTTGCTCGTCAATCGAAGAGGAAATCGTTGTGATCGTTTTGCAACAAAAATCATGCGATTTAGACTCTGATTGATCATTCTATGAATTTTGGAAATCGCCAAAAAATGGTTTTCCAATGACCAGAAAATCATGCATTCTTTAGAGCCTTGGTTTGGGGTCTTCCCGGTCTCCACTTCGAGCAAATCTTACCTCAAATCAAAGCCCTTCGAGTCACGGTCGCAATGGTTTTGTTTTTAGGGTCATTCGATCTCGGGGCTTCGAGAAACATCCGTCATAGTGAGGAGATGTCTTGCACGCAAAAATCTTCATAATGCACTTTCCAGGCAACCGTCTCTGTAGGATTTCTCCCTTCTCAAGCATTATCTCGAGGCGTGCCATATGTCAAATGTTCCTCGACGACAAGAACGACATACTAAAATTTGAGATTGATCCGCCTTAGGACGAAGGAGATACAACCCTCACAAGATGCCTCGTTTTTTAAAAACACAATTACTATAAATGGAAACTGGTTCTTGGTGGCTTCTCATGTCATGAATAGTAAAAGGCCTCGCTATTTTGGAAAAGTAGGACCTAGAAATGTCTGTTTGAGCTGAAATTTGACCTTTAAGCTTTTCTCGGCCTTCCGAATTCATCTATGGTGGTCTGACAAGAGATCAATAACAGGGAGTTTTAGCTATGGTGCTCTCTGTGCATGTAAGAGAATTGTACTCCAAACTGATTCTTTGCCTGTTCCCTCTATTTTTATAGGATCGTGACGAAACTTGAGGGACGCTCTTGGGATGTCATAAGAGGCTCTTATATATCTTTTGGAGCCAAGATGACACCATTACTATTGCTCTTCAAAATAAGGCTTATTCTTATGCAAGCTTCCACAATCCACGGGTATGTCTAGTACCCTACTGGTCTTGGTCGCAATCGCCTCCTCCTTCATTCACATTGAGGAAAGAAGTGCGTCAAAAATACCCTACAACATAGGCATTTATATACAACTACCCAACACTATAGAGAATATTGATCCTTGTTAAGATTGAAAAAGAAAAGGAGAGAGTAATATTCAACCGCCGGATAGTGTAAATATAGATGTCTTTTCACACTATAAAAGCATGGGCCAATGCGCCCCATATATACACATGGATCCCTTATGGGCGTCACAATATAAGTAAACATATACAGGAGTTACACCAAGAAAATCATTCAGATATAGTAGAATATATACACATTCAGTCCATATTGAGTTTCCAAATTGCATGGATATTTCGTCAATGTGCATTATTATCACATGCAAGATTACATAATGGGCATGAGGCCCAGAATAGTGAATTGCAGGTTTCTTTAATAGCCGGCCCCCCATAACAGTCACTACACATCATAGATGCCCAGCTTGCCCAAAGTATCTTTTAGTCCAACTCGATTAAAAGCCTTGGTAAGTATTCTACCATTTGATTCTCAAAGAGAACAAATGAGAGTACAATGTTCAAGAAGATGGGACCGGCTGCCCAAGAAGTAAGGGGTCCCAACCGCCTGGGCGCCATTGTGCAAAAAGAAAAAGGGGGTTTTGGGGGAGTTGGGGGGCTGGAATATATTATATATTTTGAAAACTTTCGACATATTACTCTACGTTTGGCCATAAATTTGCAAATATTATACCATTTTTGGCTATAAATTTTACTAGCACTCTCTTGTAGCCAAACAACAAGTAATCTTTTCAAATCTACATTATGAATTAGAAATAAAGCCAAACATAGCAAAATATATATTATAAATTTTTAAATTCGTATTTTAAATTAGAAACATAACAAAAATATATTATAATACTAAAATAGAGAAACCTTAAAAAAAACTCAAAAAAAAAAGATACTCATGAAGTTTCATCATAAATGTAAAGCCAAACTTCAAAAATAAATACAAGAAATGATGAAAAAAAATATAGCATAATTCAAACATTCACAAAAAATATGAAACACTAAAAAAAATATTTTTTGTGGAACAAATCAAGTTCTCTTGGGCTTTGGGGGACCAAAATTGTCCCCCCCAAATACAATTTCCCCCCTCTTCAAGATTGGAATACGACAATTTTCCCCTTTTTGCGAGGCCCATTTTTGGGTTTTGCCAAAAGGGCCCTAGGTGGGCCCTGGGCGATTAGTTGGCTTCCAAGGATCACCATCCCGCATTGGGCAGTATAAGCCCAGGGAGGGGCGGCAAGTGCTCCCAGCCACATGGGGCTAACTTTTTGAACTTAGGAGTACATATTGCTTTTGAACCGACCTTTTCTCTGGTAAAGCAATAGTCGAACTCAATGTGCTTGATTCTTTCATGAACTCAATATAAATTGCCCCTTGATTATCATAATGTAGAGGAATAGGAGCTAATACATAAACCCATATTTTGAAAAAATGTAGCCAAACTATTTCACATGTAGCACTTGTCGTTGCTCAATACTCAGCTTCTACTGAAGATTGAGCTACAACACTCTACTTCTTACTCTACCAGATGACTAAATTACAACTCACTATCATAAAGTAGTCACAGGTAAATTGTCAATCAAGAGAACACCCACCCCAATCTGCGTCATAGAAACCTTGTATATCAAGGTGACCATTACTAATATAAAGTAGTCCTCTCCCTTGAGCAGATTTAAAATATCAAAAATGTGATAGACAGCCTCCATGTGGTGGGCGCATGGTGTGTGCATAAACCAGCTTGCCATGCTTAACAGCATATGCAATATTTATGCGATGTGACAGTCAAATAAATAAGTCTACCACTAATCTCGGATATACAACAAGGTTACTCAAGAGATTCTGATTGTTGACCATACAATTTCTTATTAAGCTCTATGGGAGATTCTGTTGGTTTGGCTCTAAGCATTCATGTGTCATTGAAGAGATTAAGAGTATCCTTCATTTGAGACAAAATTATTCCTTGTTTAGACCTAGCCACCTCTATCTTCCAAGGATCAATGAACCAAAATCCTTGATGTAAAAAAGACCCTAAGAAATCTTTCATCCACATAGACTATCGGTATTTTGGTAGAACAAGAATCACTTTTAACAAATATAAAATGATCAGAAACACTCCTCTAAATTCCAAATTGATATATGGCCATACTGAATTTTTCGAACCAATCCCAACATGACTATTTTAGTCCATATAAAGCTTTTCTCAATTTGCAAACCTTCCCATTCTTGCCCTAAGGATAAAACCCAGGTGGTAATGCCATATAAACTACGCCTTATCTCCATGGAGAACGGCATTCTTTACATCTAATTAGTGCATAGCCATTACACTGCAATAGATAAAAGCACGTACTGATTTCAATTTTTCTGTAGGAGCAAAAACCTCCTTATAATCACCCCATTACAGGAGGTAAGGACAAGGATGATGAAAGTTTATATGTTCCACCCTTAAAGGCATTGGTCATGAATCCATAGCAAGTTTAACTTCACAATGAGCATGAGAAAAGGACGAGAAACCAACTTTCTTACAGGTCATATAATCAGTAGCCCTCAATAATCCAAGATGTAGAAGAGGTGGAGTTGGAGGTATGGTTTGCAGATGCATATGTACCTATTACACTACTAGTGTCTTAGAGTTGAGTGAAGCCTTGAAAGTAGTCAACTGGTGCTGTAAATCTTTGTGGCTTGATCTCTTGGACTGGATACATTGTTGCATGGCTTAAAGTTTCCTCCCCTTCACTCGATACAACATAAGAACTTGCATTCCCTAGTTTCAGTCTTAAGCGCAGATGCAAGTCCCAACAGTGCTCTCAGGTGTACCTCCTCTTCCCACAATGGGAGCATTTGAAGTTCCCTTTTTCAACGAGAGAGAGATGGGCACCATTTGGTCCTTTCATACCCACTTTTCCTAGCTCGAAATTTGCTGCAGAGACTGATCTTTCAGGGTGGTACTTGAGTTTTGTCCTTCTGCAATAGCCTTTTAACTAGCCTTCCCCCTTGCATAATTATAGACTGATTCAAGAGAGGGAAATTTGTCCTTTCTAAGAATCTGTACTCTTTAAAGTTTAAACTCAGAATGCAAGCCTACTAAGAACTCAATATTCTTTATTGCTTGGCCTATTTTTTAATGTCATCAACAGTGGGAAATTTGTTATTGCCCCTTGCTGCAAATTTGTTATTTTGTGATGCGATTGGTAAATCCTAGATATAACATCTCATAACAAGTATATGTCTTGGCTATTGCCTTCCATATTTCCTTTGCAATTCTAAGAAACAACAATTTCCTATTAATACCTGGCTGCATGGATAGAAGAAGTCATGCCACTACTATCAACTTCTTACTTCACCATTCATCATGGGATAGTTCATTTACGGGATATTCTTTCACCTTTCCTTTTCATATCTTGTTTGAAAATATGAGGTTGCCAATACACCCCACTTCAAGCCCAAGAAGGAAGAAAAATCATGATTATATGGTTACCGGAAATAATGGATGTCCTAGGATTTCAAGTCCTGCTCGATACCATGTTAAGATTGAGAAAGAATAGAAGAGAGAGAAACTAATATTCATGCGCACGATTGTGTAAATATAGAACTCTTTTTACATTATACAAATTATGGGGCAATATGCCCTATATATACACAGGAATCTCTTATGGTAGTTACAATATAGGTCAACATGTATAAAAGATACAGCAAGAAATATCATCCAAATATGGTAGAATATTACATAAATTTACTACATATTGAGTTTCCAAAAGTGCGTCAATATTGGCTCACTGTGCATTACTACCACATGCAAGTTTCCAAAATGGGCATGAGGTCCACAATAGTGCATTGCAGGTTTCTTCAATAGTTGTGGGCACTATAACAGTCACTACAATCCTCATTAAATTGAAGCAACAAACTGATTTTCAGGGAAAAGAACAAATCAACAAATTAAATGCAACTTGAAAAGCAAAGCAAACCTTTTTCTTATGGACTGCAAGCTCTGCCAAGCATCGGGGTTTATATTTATCAACCCAAAGGTCTTTTACATCCCCACAATCTAAACACAACTGTTGTTTTCTTTTCTTACCTACTAAACAAAAGGACAAATATAGATCATTAAAAAACAAAAATTTGCTAGAACTGCTATAAAAAATAAAATGAATTTGCTAATCAGTGTCATTCAACAACAAGAAGCCACATGTCAAGACTCAGGACTGCATTAACAACTATAACAAGTACCAAGACAAAATATTAACATGATAAATAAAATCAAAGAGTAGTAAAATCAAATTAAAGAAATGAACAGGATGCACAAGTATTACCAATGACCCAAAGACAAAATCACTACATCCGGCCTCACATAACTTGCAGGATATATCAAAAACAAAATAGTCCCAAGAAAACTATATGAAATCCGGAGCAAAATTATCATAAAAAAATGACTCAATCAAAAGTAAATCATACCTTACATTAACATCGGCATTAGAACTTCAAAGAATCAGTCCAATCATACATCTTACAACTCAATAACTCAAAGGCACTCCATGTATTTGCAGTAATTAGGTCAAAGAATTATTAGAATCCATTCAAATTGTAATCTATGCATTTTTAGAATCCATTCAGATTGTAATCTATGCATTTTTGTGAATCATTTTCTGCACGTATGAAGAATCAAACTGCAGCATATATATCCTTGTAAATCTCCCGTCCCCAATCAGGTATATTTTGTATATCACTATCAACCAGATAAAAATAATTGAGGGGAATAATACACTGCTTCTCAAGTGTACAACCCTAAGCCTTTAATTACCTATATCGAAACAATTGACATCCTAACATGGAAACATCATATCACAACTATGAGAAACTCTCTGTAGCAGTACTTCTAAGTGCGAAGAGTAGACAAACCACAAGCGGAAAAAAACGAAAATAAATGAATAATACTTGCACAAGTGAAACAAAAGCTTACCATAGGTCACATTGGACAAATCAAGATCTTCATAGATATCCTTGGTGAAAAGATTAAAGTCTTCCTGCATTGCAAAGAAGTAGAATTCAATAAAGGTTAACATGCCTGGCACAAATATTGAATGCAGACTTAAACTTCATTGCTTCTACTTTTGTTCTTATGGGGAAACTGAGACTCCATGTTTCATCATCATGTCACTTCTTCCCAAACTCCTCCTTGAACACTTCTCTAATTTCATTTGAACCAAAAAGATCAAAATAAAAGAACAAACAAAAAACTGAAAACATACAATGAATGCAAATAAATAATTGACATAAAAGAGATGTTGGAAGGAAAACTAAATAAGCTTAAGATTTGGAAGTTTTAGTCAACTTTCATGACAATGTGACAGTAAACTACCATAGTACACTAGTAATAATAAACCCTTAACTTGGTGAACATACTTGAATTCTTATTAGGCAACATCAAAAGCCATAATTTAAAAGTATTATGATCCTTCAATAAAAAGCTTTCAATATATACATCTATATGCAAGTTGGTCCCAAAGATTAATTGATGATTTATTATTATTTACAAGGGTCAAGTTAGCCTTCGAGAAAAGAAAAAGTTAAAAGTATTTGTTTGTGTAACATTCACGGATTTCTCTGAAATTAAACACCATTCAGTTACACATCCTATGTGAGGATCTGCTCCCCCGCCCCCTCCAAACTACAATACGCACATTTGTGCATCAGAAAAATCAAAAGTAATGACATATACAAGCCACAAGTAACATGAGTTGTCGCACTGTGACATTTAGTAAAAAACATGTCGGGTGTCACAGTGCTTCAATCATGCCATTAACAAATGAGACATCTCGTGATAACTCTCCCGATGTTTATGCCTGAGGCACAACTCAATATTTGCTGATTGGGATTCAAACCAACAACGCAGCAAAAATACAGGACCAAAACATAACTGATCGGAAGTGAACAGAAAGAATTCATAAAGCAGGACACCAAATAAATATCAGTAATTAACAAACTTACGAAAGTATCAAACTGAATAACATAAAGGATCGAATAGCAGAAAGAATGCAATACAAACATATACATAGCATACCTCTACCAAACCACATGATTCTTCAGGCCTTCTAGAGTTCCTCTGTCTAAAAACTTTTCGCGATTTCGACTTAGTAGTGGTGGAAGGTCTATTTGTTCGAATATCTCCATCATTATCATCCTCCGATGAAAAAACTACAACAACGTGTGAATGTTTTTTCCTCATTGCACAACTATATGACTCTCTCTATTCTACTCAATATGTTGCAGCTACCCATTCGCAACAGTCACGCCCAATTCTGGGAGGCAACAGTTCATACCAGAATAAGCTTTGAGACTTGTTTATGGATGATTATTGCCACAGATCCTAAACGACGGACAAAGCGATTGCCAATTTCTTCAGAATGCTCAACTCTCGTTTCGCACATTTCCCTTGGTAACCCCTGAAAGTAAATAGCTTGTCATGCGCTTCCAGCGACGCATATGCAAAGCCAGGATTGGAAGTTTGCACAATCCCATTTACGCATGGGATTCTCTACAAAGATACTATTTATCTTCTTTTTTAGATGGAGTTAAGAAAATTTTTCGAGTTCACGTTTAAATTTCAAAATAAGCGGTAGTAAGATTCGTAATAAACGAAACAAGCTTTAAAAAAAGATTTAATTTAAGGCTTCATTAATCAACTCAAGCCATCCAATTGAATGACCCCTATATATGAAAATTAGATGGTATTTTTGTAGATAATCCCTTTATACATCTCAATATTGAAAAAATAGGACAAATCAGATCGAAACCGGACGATCGACATCAAAAATAAGAGGGGCCAATTTAGTTCCACTAAAATATCAAAAAGGCTGCTTCTCAGTTGTTCTAGTAGAACCGGCTAGTTCTGGCAAATAACTAGTCCGATTTCTATTTTTAATATATTTTCAAGTTGAATTTGGGTCTGATCCAATACCAAATTAGGTATAAATTCACTCTATACATAGTTAACTGAAACATGGATGGTCCTGTCAAATTCTGCCGCAAAAGTGATCAAACCTCACTTAAGAGATCAAACCTTAAAATGCAAGAAGCAAGATAAAATATTGAAAACTCAAAGGAAATACTAGGAAAGCTAAAAATAAAGCAAAAAATAAGAGAACTTACAGACTTGTCGGGACTTCCAACTAGGCACCTAGAATGGAGCCTCGATCAAAGCTTGATTTGAATGATTGAACTCTTTTATTCTTGAAATGAATGACTTACTCTGAATCTTGAATGCATAGGATTGAAAAGCTCTCTAAATATATGCGGTTTTAAGGCATTAGGTGATTGAAGAATGGATGGAATTATCTGACAAATAGATGATCACGGTTGCTAGAAATTTAGGGTTTTGAGGCTGTTAAAATGAATTAAGCTTTAGATTTTAAGGGTTGGGTTTAGGGTTTAGATCAACCTAGGAGTAGGGGGTCGAGTTGGGTCCGGGCCAGACCGGACCCAAAAATATAAATATATATTTAAATATATCAAAAAATTATTTAAATATTCTAACTATAATATATAATTATATTTATTTAAATATTATTAAAATATAATATATTAAATATTATTTAATAGTATTTGGATCAGGACTAGACCCACCATGTCCAATTTTTTGACCCATACCTGAACCCAAGTAGGGTCCAGTCGTAGGGTCTCGGGTCGGGTCGGAGTCCATTGCCACCCCAACTTAGGAGTAGGGTTTCATTTGAGTGTCGAACTTTTGGGGGTCAACAATGAGAGTTTATATAAACAAATGAACATGAGAAATTAGAACGTGATGATTTACACCAATCACAAGCTGACAGCTGGCCGTGCCACACCCTGCAGCGCATAGTCTCTGACTTCTGCACCGAACGTTGTCGACAATTAACCAACTCTGCATGATGTAGATTTGCTTGGGATTCTTATTTGAGGTTTTTACTTACTATTTCTAATCAAAATCACATAAATTATCACTTCTCAAAAATATTTCCTTTCTTTCTGACAACATAACCTACCTTTTTTTTAAGATTCAGGTTTCCTAAAGCTAAATTCTGTGGAGATTTGGGATATTTTTAGATTATTTTGGGTTGGATTATGGAAGGATGACTATGGTTTTACTGTGGTCCCTAACGTATTACGCTAGTGTGATCCCTAGAGATTAAATGGCTATTATAAGGATTTCTTTATGATTTAGAATCATTCTATGCCTTAAGATCTAGAAATTCAGAGAAAAAGTCAATTCCAAATTGGGTATCTATAGTTGCCCCCTCTTTAGTGCATCCTACCCTTCGAAAGATAGGTGGGCAACAAAGACATGGACACTTATAAACACATGAGTTACTTGGAAGATATAGACTCAATGCTCAGAGAATGGTTGTCCCATTAGGTCCATTGGCACATTGATTGCCAACCTATCTCAGTTCATTGTGTAAGAATTTGTGCATCTAGGGTTTAGGGGTTGAGCATTCTCTAGAGTGTTTGCCATGCAGTATATATCAAGATTGCTGCCTAGGTTCCACTAGGACACTAATTCTTATTTTTTGATGCTTGAAATGAAATAAAGTGATGTGATTGAAAGGTAATGTAATTGACTTTTGTGAAAGAGTAGGATATCCTAAGAAATGTTAGGGATATGATTTTGAGTGCATAGGATCCTAAGGATTATCAAGATCTTTGACAAACATTCTCTTCAAAATAAAGGGTTATCAAATGCACGACAATTGTCATCATTTCAAAGCTTTGCCTCTGCTCTTTTGCTTCTTAAACTATTTTAAAAATATTTTGAAACTAGAGATAAATTTTGAAAGAGCTACTAGTGTTGGGTTTACGACTTGAACCAAAATAATTAAAGTTTTTAAAATACAAGCACAGAGTTTTTTGAAATCCTCCAAACCATAATGACTTCAACATTAGTATTTTTGAAAACAATCGAGAAACTAAATTAAGAAAATTCAATAATAAAAAAATTATAAAATTAAGAAGTGGAAAATTAAGCAGTATTGAAATTAAGAAACTTTGAAACTAAGAAATGGATTAATTAAGAACTTAAATTATGAATAGAGAATTAAAAAATGCTAATAATAGGAAAATGAAGAAACAAAAAACCATTACCGATTGGAAAAACATATAAGTATTTATAAACTATGGTTTTGTATTGGTCTTATGAGTGCAACTCAGGGACTCATAAATAGTATTCCAATCTGGCTTTATCTTAGGAGTATACTCGTTTGGACCCATTTTCACCTCAAAACTTTATCTAGATGAGGGTGTTTAACACTTTAAAGACAACGAGAGTATCGCGTGCCTCCAAATCCCCTAATTTGGTCCTAATAATTTGGAAAATTTTATCCACTATAATATATAATTTATAATGATGAGAATCCAAATAACCTATAATTTTGAAGTGTTAAATCGTGAAAATTTGGAGATGATCATAGAAACGAGAATTTTGTTAAAGCTAAATCAATATTTAACAATGCACATCTTTGTTCAGAAAATTTAAAGGTGTGTAATATTGTTTTCTTGTTAACCATGGACTGGTTGACTTTATTATTTATCTAGTCACACGTAGTTTTCTACAGGCTTCGAAAGAAGCGAAGACCTCTAGCTTATGTGATCGATAAATATATTATAATGTAATCTCCGATATAAATATTGTCAGGGGCAATAGTACTTGATGGGTGGACTCCGATATTACCACATGTCTTTAAAACTTGAAGCATTAAATTTGCAGTTTATTAATGCCCTGAACTATACCTATCCAAGATGCCCAGAATTATACCTTTCCAAGTATACGCACATATTCTTGACTGAAAATGCCAAACTGCGGTCTTGTAAAAATACTTATGTATGAAGAATTTTGTCAGGAGAGCAGAAGGATTGGTGATAACTCTCGAAGTTAATTTCATCATACCGACTATATTAAAATTCATAACATGACAAAGTCCTAGACCCCCCTCCTCACATTTCAGGTATAGCTTGTTCCAATTAAATAGATGCCATCCCCTATTCTTAATAGTCCTGCCCAAAGAAAATTTTGTTGTAACCTTTCAATGATACTACAAGTACACCTTGGCAAGATAAATGAGAGCAACCAATACATAGACAAAGCACTCAAAACCAAATAAAAGAACTACAATCTTCCTACAAATGAAAGGGACTAAGCTTGCGATGAGCCAATCTTATCGAAGGCCTTCCCAATTAAGCTTTGAAAATGTGAATGCCTCAAAGAACCATGAAAACAGAGAACCCTAAAAATTTGACAAGAAGTTCTCCTATTCCAAGCTGTAGCAAACTAACAATTTGGGTTTTCATATAATCAGGAACACCAAAGAACATAACTTGACTTTTATTATCATTATCTTTCTAGCCAATTACCTTGCAAAAGTCATCCAAAATATGCCTTATAGAGGAGGCTCCTTGAGGTGAGGCACCTCAAAAAATAACATCATCATCGCATAAAGAAGATGGTTAATTCCACAGTAGTAGCCACATAGAAAAGCAAGAGGCAAGGACTTGTTTAAAAATTGTTATAGGGTATTTTTGACGTACCTATATGCTTGGTACGAATAAGGAAGGAGCTAGTCGCAACCTGGTCCCGCGGGTATAAAAAATGAATGCAAATTATGAAAGCATTATATAAATAAGCCTATTTTTTGGTGAACTTGAAAAGGTGTCGGATCGGCCTCAAAAAACATGTGAGAGTAGTATTTGACCCCCTAAGTACACCCACAAAATTCGTCTCTATCGGACAAAGCTAAAGCAGATTATGGTGAAATTTACTTTACGAAGCCAGTTTCTATCATACTGAAAAATGTATGTTATAACTAAAGCCCTATTATTGAGGCTTCTGATGACCGTCAGACCACTACTATTGGATCCAAAATGCCCCAAAGCCCCGTATACCAATTTTCAACTCATTCAGACCTTCCTGGACTATTATGGGCCTAACTTACCATAAATAGGTGTGTTTTATACTATTCTGGTACAACCTCGGTGAACCAGTTTCCATAAATGGGAACTATGCCATTCAATTTTGGGATTGCCTTATGAAGATCATAACTTTCTCATCTTAAGGCCAATTGAGCTCAAAATTTGGTATGTTGAAGAGCTCATCAAGCCGCTCGTTTTGGTATATGGCATGCTCATGAAGATACTCGAGATGGAAGAATTTCTAGAGAGAAGTTGGATTTCAAAACTCATGTGTTGCAGATTTTTAATGAGAGACATCCCGTCATTCAAAGGGCCATATCTTGAAGCCTCGATATCGGATCGCATCAAATGTGGGTCTGTTGTGACCGCATTTCAGAGGGGCTTCGTTTTAAGGTAAAATTTACATAAGGTTGAAGAATAAGAGATACCAAATTTTGAGTTCAAAGAAGGCAAATTTTTCGGTCGTCAGAATCTCATTTTTCGATGACCTCCCCAATTTGAAAAGTACGTCGGTGACCTCCCCAATTTGAAAAGTGCTCAAACGATGACCAAATCAAGAGATTTTAGTTGTA